AGGAGCCTTCGACTTGGGACAGCCTTCGGCGCGCCGCGGTGACTCAATCGACCTTCGCATGCGGCCTTCGCTGGATTCAGCCTCTGAATTGGGATGCAGCTATAGAAGTTTATTTTAAAGTGCAAAGTAATACAAATTGAAATGTGTAAATAAAGCTGAATTCTGTGTGTGTAAATGTGTAAATAAATCATCAGATAGCTAATCAAAAGTTTCTACACACACTTGCAGTCTTCACGCCCACTTAAACTCTTGGGCCAAATACAGGAAATACATCATAGATGTAGACAAGTAGTCAAGTGCAAAGACTGCCAGTGTGGGTATTTGGACAGGTCCTTGGAATATAATAATAATAATAATAATTTATTAAGTCAAAATATAGCACTTTTCTTGGCACTTAAAGCGCTTTACATATGGAAGGGGGAATCTCCTCAACCACCAATGTGTAGCATCCACCTGGTTGATGCGATGGCAGCCATATTGCGCCAGAACACCCACTGCACACCAGCTTATTGGTGGAGAAGAGATAGTATATGGGGATGATTAGGAGGCCATGGTGATGGACAGTGGCCCATGGGCAAATCTGGCCAGGATGCTGGGGTTAAACCCCTACTCTTAATGACCACAGAGAGTCAGGACCTCGGTTTAACGTCTCATCCAAAGGACTGTTCTTTTTCTTTTTCACAGTATAGTGTCCCATAGACCACAGTATGAGCACCCTTTGCTGGCCTCACTATCTCCTCTTCCAGCTTCAACCTAGTTTTCCCAGGAGTTTTCCCATCCAGGTACTGACCAGGTTTAACCCTGCTTAGCTTCAGTGGGCAATTAGTCTTGGGCTACAGGGTGATAGCGCTCAAGCCATTGGGACTACCTTTATGGTGCTTTTTGTCATTTTTGGAGCATGACAGACAGACCTTGTCACTACAAACTGTTGTTAAGGAAAGAGCTGTGAATGGGGTTGGAATGACATGGGAGAAATTATGACAGAATTGTATTTTCTGGGTGAATTAAATATCCTTAATGCTGGTATTTGTGATCTTTAGTTTTGTTTGTTCTTTTCAGACCCTAAAAACACTCAGAACAGCTTAGAAAATCTGATTGAATCTTCTGCCTCCATTACTCTAGTTTAATCTCTTGAACTCTACATACAATTACTATAAGGCATCTTATAAGATGTGCTGCTTTCTATTCTGCTTGTGTCCAGCTTTGTGATCTGTGGCACAGTTTATGTGTTGGATCAGTGATCAGTATTTGAACTGGTTGTGTCTGAAGGTTCATCAGCGTTCACGGATCAGAGCTCAGCGAATATGTTTTTGTCTGCATGATGAAACCATACTGAGACTCTCTCCCTTTGCTTTTATTGATCTGCCTGTTGTGGCAATACAAAACCTGGATTTAGTTTGCAGCTGCCTAAATAAGGAGGGATACAAACACAAAATCCCAAGAAAAAAAATGTTGGAAAAAGCATCCCAGAGCAATAAAGGCGGATTTGATCGTTTCTTACTCATTGGTTCCTTCGGCGTTGAGTCTCAAAGGATAGTTTACATCTCTCTGAAATACTGGTAAACCATTAGGTTTCCACTCTTCTAATGATAATTTATTGATGTTTCCATACAAAACATCTTACATTTCAGTTTAGACATGTATAGACGGAACCAGTATTAACTTTGAACAAATAAAAGCCACTTTGTCTCTCCCAAAGCTTGTGCGAGAGAAAGAGAAATCTATTATCTCATCTATTATGCAGTTATAGCAGTGTATCAAAGTGCATCGTTTGGTTGACGGTAAACTGTAAGGAAACACCATGGGTCCTTTTCAGCATCATGTCCTGAGCAAACTCGCAGAGTCCTAAAATACCCGCATGGGTCAGAGTGTGGAACTGGGGCGAGAGCGGGTCACCAGAATGCTAGAGAGTTTATTTGTGGACGAGTACGAGTAAGCGTTTGCCCCAGCCGAAGGTTGTGTGTTTGTGTGGGAAAGCGCTTCGATCCATCAGTAGCCTCTTTATTCCCCAGCCCCACGCTTTGACGGAGAAACAATGGACAGAACATAAGAGGCGCCTTTTTGCTCTGGGCTCTTAAGATGGGCTCACCCCTGCCTCAACAAAGCCTTCTGACTGAGAGAGCAATGCAACAATAAAGCATCAGACTGGTGCATAAAAACAGATGCTAACCACTGGACATTCTTAAAGGGGAAGCGTGCAATTTCTGCACCACAAGTGAACAAAATGGAAAGAGTGTATGATCAGGCCAAAGTGGCCACCATGATGTCTTTCTCACCAGGTCTTTCTGGCTCAAGTTAAAAGAGCCTACAGCAACGTATCTGAAAAGTAACAGCACACCTTTCCTCAACAAGCCGCATGATGTAAGAAGTATTGTTTTAGTATTATTTATATATTTATTCTTATTTTGAAGGTTTTTTGAGTTTTTCATCTAATATTTATTTTTTGTCTGATTTCATTTTTATTTCAATTAATGAAAATGATTTTTAGTAACTTCAGTTTTAGTTAACAACAACAACACTGGATTTAAGGTTTTGTTGATTAAATGTAAACTGTGTAGGACAAGTTATGTACCAAAGTTTAGGGATGGGAACCATGAGAAATTGAATGTTTCCAGTTCCACTTCTGATTCTTCTTCTTTGGTCACCAAGATTTGTGGACGAACACTGTAAAAACGTTGGGCATCGCAACTCTTCTTCCTTCCACTGTATGAAGCAAAAATTTCCCAGTAGCGATTGTTGCTGATTGCGTCGTTCGGACCCTGAGTCTGCGCAATAGTGATCCTGAGGTGGAGCCGCTGCATCAAGATCCCGCCCAATAACTAATTATAACAAAACCCAATGGGAAAACTAACACTTGAACATGTTTACATGATGAGAACTAACTAAAATGGCAGAAACCATCTTTGGGAAAGAGTAATTGGAATTTTTAAGTTTGGCTTGTGTTCCATTCGATTACATGGAGAGGGCGGGTTTAAAGACCTATACTGCAGCCAGCCACCAGGGGGCGATCAAATTGTTTTGACTTCACTTTTTAGGATGCGTGCGGCCCATAGACAGTATAAGAAATGGACAGAGCCATCTCATTGGAACTCAGTTGAGACAGTTGAAGCCCATTTTTAGCGATTTCTGAGCACTTCCGTTCCTGACGCGCAGACTCAAACCGACTCAAACTAAGCTTGATGACGTGAGCAACCTGTCTGACAGACGTTACTCTTCTAGTAGCTGTGCGTGATAATTGCCAACGTTAATCTTGCAGAGACGGGGAACTTGAGCAAAGAGTTCTTTGGCGTGAGTGAGCAGGAGTAAGTATTCCGTTGCTTTTATGGACTCATTATCTATGGGCTTCTCCCTTGACGGGACCTCCCCCCGATTGCCTGCGAGCTTCTCCTCCTGTCTGTACGGTAATTTCTGTACAGCGCGACAGAGAGTCGAGTGGTTATGACGCAATCGTTAGCCTATTTTTACTAAATCTGTTTCTACGGGGCCATAATGTAACATACAAGGTAATGGAGCACTTTATACATTGTCGTGTTTTTCTTTAGAAATAAATAATGGACAAATGGAGTCTTTAAACGCCTCAGATGTAAAGTTATTCGCTGTCAAAGTGACGCCAAAATGAATGGGAGTCAATGGTAATGCTAACGCAAGTGAAGTTCTGCTACAACATGGCGGCACCCGGCCGGCTTCAACTTCCGGTCGATGGATTACCCCCTTGGTGCGGCCAGAGAATGTCTAATTGAAGAGAATTGGCACTGTCTGGTTACTTCCTGTTTCTGGACTGGCTGCAGTAACACGTCTCTGTCCATGCGGGGGCCTCGCAGGCGAGTGCAGAATGAATGGGAGTCTATGGGGTTTCACCCCCAGAAATCCACTTTTCTCAGGATGTAATTTTTTGTCAAGTAATTTGAAAGTTGCATTCAAAAGGGAGGGCTAAGATAATACACTCAGCTGAAAATTGCATTTTTAAGTTCACTTATCTGTTCTAAAAATCTGTTCAAAAATGTGATGACGTCACATAATAGCAGATTGCTAGCGTGTTCCGGCCAACAACGGCCTAACCTGTAAGAAATCGAAAGGACATAAGTACTCGTTCATTCGACTTTTGGCCTATAATCTATATTGAACTTGCGGAATCAACAATAAAATCTATGTTGATTCAACGACAAGCAGGAGAAAGAGATACATTTAGCCGTTTAGCTCCATAGACTCTCATTCATTCTGCACTCGCCCGCGATCACCTCCAGTGGAATTCTAATGGAACTGCAACCAATATGATACACAATGGGGCTAATAGGAAGTGCCAAGGCTATCCGTTAGAGGAGATTCATAAATTTTGGGGCATCTCGCCCGGGGGGCGGGTAGGTTTAGGATCAGGGTTAAATTAGGGTTAGGTTTAGACCTAGGTTCGCTAGCTAGTTCTGTGCCTGCCTGTGTGCGCTATTGTGCGCGCTGACCCTGGTCAACGAGAACCCGCATGAGAGATGTGAAGCAGGACGTAACCCCGCGCCCCGGGCGAGATGCCCCAAAATTTATGAGTCCCCTCCGTTAGACGGGCTCTGGTGCGGCACACTTTGTTGAGGATTCGAGAATGTTCAACTTTGGGTTAAACTACACTGTATGGTTATATTTGAGCTAAAAAAGCTCCTGCTTATAAGATCAATTTGTTTAAGAATTGTATGATTCACACTGTAGATTCAGTTGCATTGTAGATTCTGAATAATTGGTTTCTAACCCTACCCAAGTACTATGGTTGACCAATAGTAATCTAACCTTGTTCAACTGATAGTCCCGCCTCAAATTCACGGCACCGGTTGACTTAGAGTTCACTCACAAAAAGAGTGCAATGCAATCTATACAGCTGTGATACTCATCCCAGGACATCCCTGTGTGTGCAGGTGTATACCTCCCACCCCGCCCCACCACGGCCCTCACCTGTGTGTTGCGGTGCTTCCCATGTGAGCCGACCTGGGCCGGCAGCCCCTTCTTGCACCGCCCGCCGACCCGGCCCATGGTCACCATGACGCGCTCCAAAACCTTCCAGGCGTACTTGCCCAGCTGCCACCGCACCTACAGCTGCATCCACTGCAGAGCACACCTCGCCAACCACGACGAACTCATCTCCAAGGTGATTAATGAGCGGAGAAATTACCACCTGACGACACGAACAAACATGTTTGTTAAGCATATGAGAAGCACACAGATTGGAAGATCAACACATGCTGTTTAATGTCACATCAGTTCTGCACGGATGAAAAGCTGGTTTTTAACACAGTTTCAGATGAACATTTAAGTGAGATATCACATGCAATTCTCTTTTTTCTTTTAGTCTTTTCAAGGAAGTCAGGGCAGAGCTTATCTCTTCAACTCTGTGTAAGTTGCTTCTGTGTTTTTAAGTGGATATTTGTTTGTACATTTCTGTTATTTGAAGGAGTTTGACATGTCAGTCGTGCGCACTACCGCTGAAAAGTTCGGTCTGAAAGCTCTTTTTACAGTTAAAAAAAAAGAGACTCTTTTGCTCACCAAGGCTGCATTTATTTGATCAAAAATACAGTAAAAACAATAATATTGTGAACTTTTATTACACTTTAAAATGGTTGTTTTATTATATTTAAAATGTATTTAATTTATAATAATATGCTGATTTGCTGCTCAAGAAACTATTGTTATTATTATCAATGTTAAAAATAGTTGCTGATTAATATTTTTAGTGAAAACCATGATGCATTTAATTTTTCAGGATTCGTTGATGAACAGAAAGTCACCTGACTATATCTTCCTTTCCGTGATTGTGTCTCACTGGTCTCCTCAGGGTTAACGTGGGATGTGGCCCTGCAGAGGAGAGGGTTCTGCTCACGGGGCTTCATGCGGTGGCCGACATCTACTGCGAGAACTGCAAAACCACACTGGGGTGGAAATATGTAAGGAAACCCTCACAACACATGGAAAGTTAAAGTACATAAAAGTGACATCACCTCATAACACAGGTCATTTACATATAGTAGTCTTAAATATACAGTAGCAAAAACAGCGTAGAGAGGGTGGAAAATGACAAAACTGAATTATAAATGATGTGCGAGACACTTTGGCTAACATTATAACTGCACATTAGTTCACCCAAAAATGACAATTCTGACTTTCTTTCTTCTGTGAACTGTTTTGCCCATAATGAAGTCAATGGGGTCCAAAACCCCACTGAAGAAAGAAACTCATACAGGTTTGAAACAACATGAGGGTGAGTAAATGATGACAGAATTAAAATTTTTGGGTGTACTATTCCTTTAAAGCTTTCCATTTACACCCAGAAGTGCCGTGCTCAACAAATAGCCTACTTGCAGCCCCATTTACCTGAAGAAACTGAATGTTTGCATGTTAACATTGACCGAAAAAGTCACCAGAGTCACGATCACTCGAGATAATACCACATTGTTAATATGCATGGCATTGCGAGTTCAAGCTTGCTCATAAAGGCTTGTCTAAGCAGGACACATTCCTTGCACGGTGTCCATTTTTAATCAGCAGCTGTGCCACATGCCGATTGTTTTTTTCGGGGCTAGTGGATTTCCGGTCGCCCTTGACATGGAGTCTGGACCAATGCAAACACCAATATGCACACAAACAAGTATACGTTCCCATAGTGGCCTGGTTATTTATAAATACGGCAGATATTTTTGTCAGTGTGAATGCAGACGTTTCAGAGAAGCTTGACCCAGTGCCCTTCTCCAGAAATCTGATGAGTGCTCCCTTCTGCCTGCATCCATCAGCTATAAAAAGAAAGGACAAATATTTAATGCTGTAGTGAAACAGTTTGACCTATCTTCTATGATGACCATGATTTTAATTACTGAATTAAAATTAATTATGATATTTTTGAAAGTCATGAATGTCTGAAAACTGTCCTGATACAATAATGAAGAAAAAAAAAACCCATTAAAGGAATGACATTTTTCAAATGTTCTTAGAAATTTTTTTTTTTAACAAAATTGTGGTCCAACCAAGATGCATTAAAAAAAAAATATATATATATATATATATATATATATATATATATATATATATATATCAAATCGGAAATTTTATCATAGTGAGGACACCTGCGAACATAATTTGGCCCTTTTATGATGGGACAAGGCTAACCTTAACAGAATGTTTGTACAAAGTTATCTGGTCTTTAATAATGTTCTCAAAACATTATTTATACATCACTCGTGGAATGTTTTTTTTTTACCTGAAACATTTTAAATGTTAATACTTGTTTCAGAATGTTTAGAGAACATTTGAAGGTAACGTTCACATAAAGTTTTCAAAATGACGAAATGGAACGTTCCCTAAACTTTCGTATAATCAAGAAAATGTTTTTAAAACATTTTTTTTTTAACTGGACATTTCGAACATTCAGAGAACATTGAACTTTTTCATAACTTAATGGGAATGTTACCAAAACATTCAGCAGAACATATTTTGGTAACACTTTAGTTTAGAGTCGAATTCTCACCATTAACTTGTTGCTTATTAGCACTCATTTTACTAGGATATTGGCTTTTTATTAGTACTTATAAAGCACATATTAATGCCTTATTCTGCATGACCATATTCTACATCTCTTAATCCTACCCAATACCTGAACTTAACAACTACCTTACTAACTATTAATAAGCAGTAATTAGGAGTTTATTGAGGCGTTAGTCATTAAGTTTATTTATTAGTCGTTGTTAATAGTTAATAGTGAGAATTGGACCCTAAACTAAAGTGTGACCCTTATTTTTGTTAGCTGGGAGTTCAGGTTGCAAAATGTCATATGGTGCGACTAATGTATTTTGAATCAATAATTCATGATATTTGAAAAGATACTTTTTGCACTCGTTATTTATTAGTCGTTGTTAATAGTTAATAGTGAGAATTGGACCCTAAACTAAAGTGTGACCCTTATTTTTGTTAGCTGGGAGTTCAGGTTGCAAAATGTCATATGGTGCGACTAATGTATTTTGAATCAATAATTCATGATATTTGAAAAGATACTTTTTGCACTCGTTATTTATTAGTCGTTGTTAATAGTTAATAGTGAGAATTGGACCCTAAACTAAAGTGTGACCCTTATTTTTGTTAGCTGGGAGTTCAGGTTGTAAAATGTCATATGGTGCGACTCCCCAAAAAGCGTAATGTATTTTGAATCAATAATTCATGATATTTGAAAAGATACTTTTTGCATTGCAACTTTTTTGATAATAATGATTAAGATGTGTACACTCACATGTATTCAAGGTGGAAGGAAAATGTAATTTATTTGAAGGTTACACCACATGACATTTTTAGAGTCATTCAGTTGTTGTTGTTTTTTTGCCATGAAAGTTTTTCAAAACTAAATGAAACCAACATAAACGATTTTTCCTTTTTATCGTGAACAGTCTGTCATTAACCCATAAAGGATGACGAGTTTCACATCCAAGTTAGTCCTGCGGTCAATATGGTTTCTCGCTCTCCTCCTGCCCCCAGGAACATGCCTTTGAGAGCAGTCAGAAGTACAAGGAGGGCAAGTTCATTATCGAGCTCGCCCACATGATCAAGGACAACGGCTGGGACTGAGCGAGCGTCCTGGAGAGAGCAAGCAGATGACGGGTGGATGGTGAATGCGTGGGTGAATGACTGACTTTGGTTTGCCATTACCCTCTTAAACCCTCTTCTACCCTCCATCTCCTGCTGACACACACGCCTCTAGCTGGAGCCAAATCAGGAGAGCGGGCCGCCCCGGGGGGCTTTGTGTGTCTGGAGGAGAGAGCGCACGCGTGTGTGTGTGTGTCCGCCCTGGCACATGGGAGCACACAGATACATGAATGCATACACAAGGTGTACAGACATATGTGTGTAAAAACAACAGCATACGCTCTCACGCTCATCTCAGCCCGACTGTTTATACTACAAGCGGCTCTATTCATACACGTATATGACATAAGGCAGGGCTCAGAGGGCACGTTGTGCTTGGCAGGATCAGGGTCACGAGTTCGCCGAGCTGATGGGGCTTTCTCCACTTTGTGTTAGTGAGAAACTACCAGGCTGACCTATTCGAATTCAGCACCATCTGCGCAAGCGAGGAGACTTGGCATGGAGAGATCTCTGAATAGAGCTCTGACGGACCAACACAAAGGGCTTAAAGGAGTAGTTCACCCAAAAGTGAGAATGCACTATGAGAACTATTCCTTTAAACCGTCCAAACCGTACTGTTGCTTGGCACAAGTTCGCAGACAAAATCCAGTCATTTCAATCCATGTTTCACGTGAGGGCGGAAAAGTTGCCTCATGTTCAAGTTGGTTATGCGAATTCACTGCGCTGACCAACAGAAACCTGCTTGGTTTGAAAGTGACTTTGATGTGTGAGCTGTGTTTAATACATCGCTGCACTATTGAAATTTGGCTGAAATGTCACTAATGTGACCGCATCTTAAGAAGGTTAAAGTGAACTTTACTGAAATGCTTTTAGCATAAAACGACCATCTAACTGATTTTGGATGAAACATGCCCATAAATACGTGAATGTAAACCTTTGTGTATAGCAGTTTACAAGGTGTTTAATCTGGACATCTTTGTGTCTGTTCCATGTTCCAACAGTTTGTGCTGGTCCCAATTACACGGTGTTAATTCGTACTATGGGGAATAAGGACCTAAGATGAGACCATACACTGCCTATCCATTAGGTTATTAAAATTAAAATAAAATATAAATTTAATTTAAAAATACTATTCATCATAGCTCCCCTGTACCTAAATGACACTTCACTGTCTCAAAAAATCACCAAAGACCCAACTGCAAATGAGTTGACCTAACAAAAGTGTTTTATTTTTTGCTTGGGTGAAGCGAATGGTAGCATGTTGGGTTGTATATAGTGGAAAAACAAACTTTTTGACGTATTTAATTGACACAAAATTTTAATTGATACGTGGAAATATATATGTGCATAAATGTATTTATTCACCATAACTGATTTTCATCTGTGTCAGGGACTAAGTTGCTGCATTTGTTTATCGCTTTATGTCTGGACACCAAAATTTACTACTTTTGTATTCCAGTAAGAAGTTTCAACTGTTGTGTATTTTATAAATGGATGAGGAGAGAATTATGATATTATTGGAACTCCCATCAACATTGATATAAAATGTCAATAAAACAGAAATATTGATTGATTTGCTTAATGTTTTTATTTTTCTAGGCACTTTTCATAACTGCATGCTGTTTTTAAAGAGATAGTTTACTCAAAAAATTGAATTCGGTAATTTACTCACCCTCATGTTGTTCCAATCACAATGTCAAAATTTCCATTTTTTAGCCTGTACATGCCGCTCTTTTCCATACAACGAAAGTGAAGTCAGGCTAAAATGTACAGTAGACCAAATATTTCAAGTTATTTGTTCAATTTCTTCCTTTTCACAGTAGCTCTCAAATCCTATTCACACTTGCACATATTCAAACATGGAGGTGATTGAATGTATTGAATTGGAATGAGATTCGCAAACGGGATTTAAAAGCAATGGCAGAGGAAAAAAAATTCAGAAAATAATGACTTAAATTTCTTTCCCTTTCACAAAACAATGGTATTTCTTAAAGGTTCACCCACAAATAAAAATTCTGTCATCATTTTATACCTTCATGTTGGTTACCACTGACTTCCATTTGTATGAACAAAAAAACACTTCAACTACATCCTATGTGTTTGGGAGGACATGAAGGTGAGTAAATTATAAATTATGTCAATTTTCTTTTTTGGGGGAACAATCCCTTTAAAAAGACTTGTAATACTGGGTAAAAGTCATATTTGTATGTTGCTTTTTTGGTCATTTACTGAGCTTGGTCCCAAGGTCCCATTTATTTTCAATGAATTGAAAAGAGCAGCGTGGACATTCTGCTAATCTTTTCCTTTTATGTTCCACGTAAGAAGGAATACCCTACAAATTGGGAATGACATTAGTGTAAATAATTTCCATTTTGGGTGAAATATTGCTTGAATTATATTTTTTCTATGTTTTGTCTTAAAACTAAAAGTTAAACATTTTTAATTCAGCCCCAACTTTATTAACAGATACACTCCAGTCCTTCCTTCAACACTGCAAATGAGGTAAAAATCCACATGTGGGCTCACTCTAACAATAAGAGCATTATTTCAATATGGAGGATCTTAAAATACAAGATGGTGGCTGCTCTCCATTCCTCTGTTGTTCCAGGGAGTGTGCCAGCCTTTCAGTTGCCCTACGTCTCTTCTTTACACAGACAGATGGCTCTGTGTTTGCACTGGAGGCCGCGTCTCCTAGCAACTGGCTCTCTCTCATTCTCTCCTCAAGTTGCGGAGGAGGCAGTGCAAGTGTGTGTCTGTGAAGGGCTGGTGTCATTCAGTGTCTGGGCCCAGAGTTTATCTCACACACACGCTGACTGAGGTTGTTTAAGGTCTGTCAGAGTTTGGGTGGTGCTCTGGTGAGTGTGTGGGCGAATAATATCACACAGTTGATTACCCAGCTCTCCGGTGGTTGATAGATGAATATGTAGACAGGAGCTACAAAGAAAAATACACACAGCGTGCATATATACACTGGATTATAACTGTATCCTCTTGTTCCAAGTCTTCAGATGACCTTCCGCTCTTGGTAAACGAGACTTAAAGCCATACGTCTTGTCTCGCCGTTCCCTCAGCACGAAGATTAAACAGAGAAAGGAAGTTATCACATCGCAAATAATGTCAGTATTATTCAGAGAGCTGGATGCCAAGCCACAACATTCCAGGTAATTGTGAAACACTGAAAGAAATAGTTAAAGGCATAAAACATGGGTTTGGATGACGATATTTTACGGCCGGAAGTGCGAATTAAGGGGACATTTACACAGAACACGTTTTAAATGCAAGGTCTAGAGAAGCATTTTTTGTTTGGTTTGCTGCATTTTAAATAATAATTATGAGTAACAACCCGTGACAATCTACTCTATCTGCCAAAATGAATCTGCAGCAGTCAGGTGATACAGTGGTCACGTGGTACAGGGCCTCGTTTATAAAACGTGCATAAGCACAGATTTGAACTCAGTGTGTGTGTATGATAAATTCCACTACAACATTCATATTTATAAAAATAGTCTTGGACGTGGAAAAGTGCTTGCCACGTCAGGGACACCTTCATCTGATCGATTTTTGAAGGCAGCATAGATGTACAGTACAGTATCCTTCACTGCCTTTTATATCCCACAATCCTTTGCGTTCCATTCGGTGACAGTTGAGCTAGAAAAAGGAAGGATGGCGTCTGAAAGTTGCGGTTGCTGGTCAGTTTGTGTGTAAATGTACGTTATGTTTTTGACCAACGTTTTCCACTTCTGATATCATTTCTAGTGAGAAATATTTTATTTGTTTATATAAATATTTGTTTAGTTCTCACCAAAGCTCGCTCTATTTTGCTGTTGATCATTAAACGTTTACGCTGACACAGAAGTCTGTCCGAAATCAGTTTCGTACCTTCGTGCGCAAACGCTGCCTGCAGAGTCATTGCCTATGAGACAGAAAGGCAACAAGTCAGCTGCCTGTGCACAATATCATAATTTAACATCTGAAAGAGAGGCGTACGCACGTTTTTCTATGTGCGTTCGTTCTCTGAATCACATGTACGCACATTTGAGAAATGATCGTAAGATCAAATGTAGGACAGTTTCTACGCAACATTTTATAAATGATGCCCACAGGTTGGAGCTCAGAAAATTCATTTTTCAAATGGCAATTTGTTCTGCAAGGATGTAAACGCTTTTTACAATCGGAATCTCGTAATAAAGGTAATTCTGACATGGCGTGAACGCATCTTTTTTACTCACTTCCATTTGTGTGAAAAAGAACAACTCAAAGACATTCTGTGGTAACACTTTATTTTAAGGTTACAGTTACACATTACTACATGTACTTAATATAGTAATAGCAGTAAATTATGCATAATTACAAGTAACCCTATAATTCTATAGTAAGTATATAGTTAAGTGATATTTCTCAGCATTTGAGTAAGAACAATGTAACTGTCACCTTAAAATAAAGTGTAAACCATTCAGTTAAATATATTTTGTGTTCAGAAGAAAGACAAAAATGTCATATAGGTATGGGACAACATGAGATGAGTAAATGGTGACAGAAATTCATTTTTAAGTGAACTATCCCTTGAATAAATGCAGGAATATGAGAAGCACTGAGAAGCAGAGGTGATCTATCCAGCCATAGGATGAGGCGTCTAGGGACGTAATGACTCAGCAGAAAATCAAACAAAGAACACCAAGTGCTCATTTTCCAGAAACATCAGACTGCAGTAAGGAATGATGGCGCTCTGAGCGGATCGGGTTCTGTTTATTGGCTGGTGAAAGTAGTCCTCAGGGAGAGCCTTCTTTTTTTGGCCAATGACCTCACATCTGCATCTACCTCCTCGTCCAGCAGCAGCGCTTTTTACTGTTTACTTGGAACACAAGACTGTAGGCAAAAGCAAACTCTTAAAGTTCTATCCCTTTAAAATGCCAGAGCTTGGAACACTGAAATGTTTATGGTAGGTTGACTGTTTTGAAGTGACCACCCATCCCCACCCTTCCTATTTAACAGAGACGGCATTCACAAGCATCTTTCCAGAAGCAGTGCTTTATTCTCGGTTTGGTGTTCAGCCCTCGTGGTGAAGGCAAGGCTTGCTGTAACCTGATGGAGTGTTAGCTGCAGAGGCTAAAAATAGCAGAGCTGATCAGTGAGTCAAAACTCTGCAGCAGAGACTAACTCAGACGGACACACACACACAGACTGGTGCACTGACACACTGAACAGAGAAAGCACAAGAGATTCAAAGAGTGGTATGAGACGAGCATGTGGCATATTCCACGGTGTATGAACGGGTGAATGTGAGGCAATATGTAAAGCGCTTTGGTGGCCATTGGGTCTGTGAAAGCGCTATATAAATGCAGTCCATTTACCATTTACCATATTCCAGTTAAATACTAATGCACTGTGATCACTGGGAGGCGTAGGGTTAAACAGGGACAGACTCTATTTTCCCTGTGGATTAGGGATTGTGGTAATCTCTGCATTTGTTTAAGATTATACAGATTGATTTATTCCTGTGGTCTACATTTAGGCCCAGACCATGGAGAGTGTATGTGTGATATTATCTGGAGGCATAAGCCCTTTACATCTCACATTTAAAGGGGTTATGAACTGTATGCAAAACATGTTTTAGTGCACTTATAATATTACTATGATTTTCACATAAAAATAGTCATAATTTAGAAATGAAAGGCAATTTCTAGCCTGATTTTAGCCCTCTGATTTGAACGCTCTGTTGGAAGGGACGTGTCTGTTGTGAGACTTCAGTGTAAACGCCCACTGCTGTGATTGGCTAACATCTTTGCATATGAAATAAGTATTACATGTGGAAC